CTATTTGTGCTGACAAGACTTTACCTAACTTCACAACGAGGAGAGCGAATGCTAAATCTAGGTCCTTCAGTTGCTCTCAAAGTGTTAATCATGACATCCACCCACCACCATGATGTTGCTATGGAGAAATTATTTCAATTCTCAAGTGGGTCTAAGATTAAAAAAAAATCTACGAATAGACAGGATCTCTTCATGTGGCGAAATAGTCTATCTGCATTTCCATGTTGGAAGCCTGAAATGTACTTTGACAAAGCCTTATTTTTTCAGTTTGTTATACAACATTCTATCATCCTTTCCAGGTTTTAAAGGTTCATTAACCATTTCAGCGAAGCATTGTTCACCCGTACAGTGAATCTGGGTGTAATATTTCACAAAGATTAAATCTGCAAGCAGTTTTTCTTTGTCACAGAGTACTTGCATTTAGGAGCTGTAAGCATATGTGATGGCACATTATACTCCTTTCATGACTTGTAATAACAATATCTGAACTTCATTGCCACTGATGTTGGTACTTAATAGCAACTCGCTGCCTTGTTATGAATAGGGCAATCGGGAGCATCCACTAAAGCAAGCTTTAGAGATTGAAATGCTTTATTACATTTCTCACTCTATCCAAAGTGCATCTCAATTTTATTAAAAATAGAAAAATGGCATTGCTATCTTGGAGAAGTCTATAACAAGTGTCAATGCTATGACACAAGACTAAAGAAACTGTGAACGTCTCACTTAGTTATAGTTGAGGCTAGTCTTATGCCACTGCTATCTTAGTAGGGTCTGTGATCAAGAAACTTCACTTCTTGCACATAAGCATGGTTTTTCCTGGTTTTAGTGTCAAGCCTGCTTTATGTTTGTTGGGTTCTCAGCCATAGACTTTAACATGCAACCAAATACCAAAAATATCAATGATATAGACCAGGCATATCTCCCATTGCAGCCCGTTCAGTGTAAGCTACATTAACCTCTCAAAAGTGGGAGGTGAATTACACAGATAAAATAGCATAATTTGTAACTTATATAAGCTCTATCTTGTGCTAAAAGCAGTCTTAGATTTGCCTTTGTCATTCAGTTCGACTTGTTAGTACCTGTATTCCAGATATAAAGAGTTGAACCAATGTGACATATCCAGACATACATCTGTGGTGACAAGGGAAAGGCATCAACGTGATTTACCACGTTCACCTGTATAAAATCAATATGGAATCTTGAAATACTGGTGATGACCAAATACTTTGTGCAGATTGTATATAGCCATGTTGATATCCATTTATTTGCTTTAGCCATGGCACAATAATGCAAACCTATTAATAATGCTAATCTTGATTACATCCACTTTGTCATTTTATGCATAGTCTATTGCTATTTTCTAGAATAAGGTTGATACTCCTTGACCAAAGTGGCAGTCTCACTTGGAGGGCTTTATATATTGCAAGATTTACCAGTGTTCTGGCTCTTCCTGTGTCAAACAGGAACTTGATCTATCGCCTTTGCACCCTCATAATACATATCCAGCTAACCATATTCCCCCAAACCAAGAAGTTGTTTAATGGACGTTTGAATGAATACATCTTTGTGATTTGCTAAGGCCGTTGCAGATGGCACAAAGTGACCCTGTAAGTGGCCACATGCTTGATGGTGCTCCTTTTCCAAGCTTTGAACTCAACCCAAGGGACTGTTCGATTCCCCAATGAGTCACATCAGTGATAAAACTTGGCCACAATTGTGTTTCAGTCTTTTCATTGTGCTTCATATAAATGCTAATGAAATCCTGGGCTAAAACTACCTAAGCTCAGGGTCAAGCGTTTAAGTTCATGCTTCTGAGTCCAGCTGTTCTAAGCACTAACCTGCCTGATATGCTTTAGAAACGAGCACTTGGCGAAATTTTTGAATGCTGGAAAATTCTAAAATCTGCTTAGTATCACTCACAATATCCTTTAGTGTTGGCCAAAGCCTACAGCTTTTTGATTCTCGTCCAATACCTGGATGAAATTACTCCAATATTATGGGTATAGGGTAGTACACATACTAGAGATTCCAACATTTTGAAGTAGTAAATAGTCTCTGGTGCACAGTGGCAGAACAACGAGATGCCCTTGGAAACTCATTCTTAAGCTCTGCATGACCCCAGGTTTCTTCATGATCCATGGTCAACTTGGTAGCATACGTCCAGGCTTAGAAAAGCTCATGACTCCCTATTGATTCCCCATATTTTCTTCTTGAAGCTTGCTGTCTTATATGCGAAGAAAACATCTCTGACTGTTTGAAGTCGTCCACCAATAGCATGTTCAGACCTTCACAGTTAGTCTTGAGGGCCCTTGTCCAAAGCTAAGACCGTGTTATTCTGTTTGATGACAACCTGAAAGTCCTGTATACACCACACCCCATATGTACCCAAGGGACATTACCTGATTTGCCATAATGGTTCACCAGATATCAGCCGATCTTCTTAAGTCTGCAGCTGCAGAAAGTCCTTTGTCCAGGAGAAGACAAAAACCATCTCTTTCCAGTGTAGTGTTAAAAATATAATACGCCTAATCGTGATGTGTTATTACAAGTATAATTAATTATAATCGTGCTTCGCCAGCTTGTAAAAGGCGTTCACATAATAAAAGTTGTTGTTGTAGTTAGAAATGGCCTATATAAATAGTATTCTGACTACTGCTATGTTCATTGTATCTCAGCCGATCTCAAGAGCTCTGAATTGAGCGAAACGAAACCTCGTCGGCAAAAATATGACGAATATAGTGTGATTGAAATGCTATTATTACACAAATTTCTAATTCTGGAAAATCCTTAATAGACTAAATTAAGAATTTAGTGTTAAAAATATAATAGGCTTAACATAATTTCTTATGACAATTATAATTAATTCACGATTCCAGTAAGATGCAAATGGCTACCCCTAACGCAAGTACGCACATTGTGTTTTTGTATTTGACATAAATGACGATTGTTTTTATTTTGTATAACACATCCTGTCCAGTCTGTTTATGTCTTTGTTTAAACTCGGGTAGTTTAGTTAAATACGGACTAACTTTAAAACATATCCTGGGATTTTTATAGAGTGGACCTACATAATTGTCTTTCAGGAAATCACTTTAACTTGAGAATACCACAGCATTTTAAAATTTTAATGTTGTGATGTCTTTTCTATTGTTGGGGTAGTTTTTCTTAGCGCAAAGCTACACGATGGACTATCTGCACTCTGTCAACCATAGAGATTTGAGACCCGAGTTTAGTGTTGTAAGGCCGTAAGCTTAACTTTGACTAACTAGGGGACGTCTTTTCTCAACTTCCTCAGAATTCAGATATTTTCTTTCTGCAAGCCAGATTCAAAACATCTATGCTTGAGAAATACTTTTAACTTAAATTGGTAAAAGTTGGATAGTGTGAGGAGAAATCAATCTGCTTCCAACTTCGATAATTGATACTTATTCAAATAACCTTATTATAAAAAGAACATAAATATTCGTAATTACATTTTATTTATTCAGTCTTCATTATGTTACCTCCAGTGAAAATAGAATTTGTAAAAGTTACCGACTAACAGTGAGAAAATCTCATAATCAGTCAATAAACTCAACTTAAAGTCTATTGAAGTAAGACTGATGAAAAGTATGTTTTGTACTGAGAGTTCCTAGTTGTGTTAAAGATGAAAGTAAACTGATGAAGGAAAGAGCGCTGAGAAATGAGCACTCGATTAAAAGAGAGAACTGCTTCATATTTAAAATATTTCAGAACTAACCCAAAAATTCCAAGAATTCTGTTTCTTCATATTCAGGAAAAGCTTCAAAATCTGACTCGGATCCGTATTTTGTCATTTATTAATGTACATATTTATTCAGTGATATGTTGTTAAAAGTTCAATGATACTGACTAGTTAATGACAAGACGCACATACCACCTCATCAGAGACAACGTCGTTCTGGCATCGTTTGAACTGAATTAGAGATATGTAATTTGTAATATTCCTATCTATATTGACATGGTCTCCTCTTTCATTCTTAGCTTACTGTTACATACGTTATAATGTAAGGAAATGTTTTAAAATTGTAGATTTGTCATTGTGGACCTAGTCAATAGACTACAAGTTTACATCTCACAATTATTTATGATACTTTAACAAGTGTCAAATTTATAATTTTTTAAGACTGCCACCAGAGTTCTTAAAATATTAACTGACCAAAAGTAGACCAGTTCAGTACTGACTATGACTAAAATATTTAGTTTTTCCTGAGCCAAAAGTATTTTGAAACCTCAAAAACGTATAGAAATTGTAATCATGAAATTATAGTTTCATGTTGGCTGAACTTCACTGATATATCATTGATAGATAAACGTAAAAAAAAATATGTTTATATCAAATCATTGTTGCACAACGCATATATGTAGTAAAAATACAGCTACGCGTTTTTGAGAAATACGTCAAATTAAACAAGACGAAAAAACTTGCACTGTATATAAAAAAATTGCAAGTCTACACATAGCAAATCTAATCTTTAATCGTTAAACTGAAATATTTGACCTTAGTTTATTCTCTTGTATTTCAACTATTTAGTTAATAAACTTTGTCATGATATAAAAGACTGTTTAGTTTAGATATTATTAATTAATATGTTTTTGGGAGTAAATATTTTATTATTGTTTAGTTTTTGTTATAATAAGAGTTAAAAGCAGATGAGTGTAGGAAGTCATTGAGTGTTTGTAAGTCATTGATATTGAGACTATCGAACGTCGCGTACAATACTTGACATCGAGAATATAAGATATTTCTAGAATGCGGGAAGACGATTACCTGATAAACATATAAATAGTGTGAGACGAACGGAAACATCAGACAGACACTAGCAGAAGTGAGTAAAGTCGTGGCCAAGGAAAAGTTCAGCGTGAAGTTAATTACTGTAGAATTGATAGACTTAACGTTTAATATGTTAAAGTAAGACTAACAGTAGAAAAGGAGATAAGAAGAAGAATTTAATCCGTCAAAGCGTGGTTCTAAAGTAATTGAATCAGCCTCAGTGCGCTTTGACAAAAAGAACAGAGGAACTCGTAAGTAATTGTAAGTGAATCACACACAGAACACTAGTGTGATAGTCAACTGAAGTTCTAAAGCAATTGAAAAAGCTTAAGTGTACTTTTGACATGAAGAAGAGAACTATATATATATAGTGTCTATGATATGCCTATAATCTCTGTAGTGTGAAAATTTGCTGTACATACGTTTAACTTGTTCCGAATATAGATATTATTCTGAAAACAAGTGAAATGTGTGCTGTGCATTTATCGTTGAATAACTCGCTAACAAGTCACAGACACCTACTGTAGAAGAGTCATAAACCCAACAACAACACAGTATATATTTATACTATTAAGAAATATAAGTAAAAACCATTTATTTTGACAATTGGCGAAAGAATTATATTTTAAATTCTGATAAACTTTTTACTTTACAACAACTCAAGTATAAAATATAAATAGGGCAACATTGTATAATAAACTTTATTTAAATATATAAACAAAACAACGTTTACATTACAGAATAAAATTTTAAAAAGTTAAAAATGACTACTTGTTTCGGTAGCTTCCGCTACCATCATCAGAGTACAAATCTACGCTAGTAGAGATTTTTTTAAATTTTATTGTCTAATGTAAACGTTGTTTTGCCTATATTTTTTTAATAAACTCAAGTATAAATTAGTAACCATATGTCACCAGAATAATATTAATAATAATATCAAAAATTTATACTAAGTTTTAACTTATTTTCTTAGGTCTTAAAGCACTGAATAGATGGCCTATTTTCCTAAATGTATTGACCCGTATCTTGGGCTTATCAAAGCAATGCCTTGCTTAGGGGCACGTGAAAGGTAAGAGATGTATTTACCTCATCTTTTAGTTCGTATTATTTTTTACTCGTCTCCCAAACGCTAATAACACTTTTATGACGAGAGTAAAAAAATATTTTAGTCTAACTAGAGTACCAGTCCCCTGGACGAAAGTTATGTAAATTCATGATTAATTGTTGGGTATACAAGACTGCTTAGTTTGTTTGTTTTTGAATTTCGCGCAAAGCTACACGAGGGCTATCTGCACTAGTCGTCCCTAATTTAGCAGTGTAAGACTAGAGGCAAGGCAGCTAGT